TGCAAGGACACGGAGACTAGGTAGAATACCAGGACGGCCATGGGGCCTATCAATCTGGAGAATGTCGAAAAGAGAAAGAATATTTTGAGTAAAAGAATTTCAGGCACGAATTGCCCATCAAAAATGTACAGGTCTTCTTGTGATAGCCGCGGCGTCGTATGTGCTTCTACATACGGCTTTATACATGACCTTCCACTTGCTACGATACTGATACACCTCTCTCGCTTTTTTAACATTCATCGACCTTTCATACATGCTTGTCGATTTACAATTTTGACCTGACCTTTCTTTGTATATGTCGCAGGAATGTAGCGAAATCCGGTAATTCGCGAAATCCCTAGGCCCTTCGCGAAGAGCCGGATAATAGCGAAATGCATCGATTTATACGCACATTTCCCGGAAATCTGCGAATTCGTTATTTGCATGGACATAAATCCAGGAAAACTGCGTATAAGGCGACACGCGGCTACGAAGCCGCCTACGCACTTGCTACGAAAGGTTCCATTATGCTGATCAGGTGGTTCAGCCTGCAATTGCCTACTCATTCATGACCATGACCATGCCTAGACTATGACCATGACTAGACCATGACCATGACCATGACCATGACCATGACCATGACCATTACCATGACCATTACCATGACCATTACCATGACCATTGCCATGACCATTGCCATGACCATTGCCATGACCATTGCCATGACCATTGCCATGACCATTCCCATGACCATAACCATGACCATTACCATGACCATTACCATGACCATTACCATGACCATTGCCATGACCATTACCATGACCATTGCCATGACCATTGCCATGACCATTACCATGACCATTGCCATGACCATTGCCATGACCATTGCCATGACCATTACCATGACCATTGCCATGACCATTGCCATGACCATTACCATGACCATTACCATGACCATTGCCATGACCATTGCCATGACCATTACCATGACCATAACCATGACCATTACCATGACCATTACCATGACCATTGCCATGACCATTGCCATGACCATTGCCATGACCACTGCCATGACCATTGCCATGACCATTGCCATGACCATAACCATGACCATTACCATGACCATTACCATGACCATTACCATGACCATTACCATGACCATTACCATGACCATTACCATGACCATTACCATGACCATTACCATGACCATTACCATGACCATTACCATGACCATTACCATGACCATTACATGGTAATAATTACCATATAATTACAATGTAATTACCATGTAATTACCGTGTAATTACACGGTAATTACACGGTAATTACACGGTAATTACCATGTACCATGTACATTACCATGACCATTACATGGTAATGACCATGATAATTACCATGTAATTACCGTGTAATTACCATGTACCATGTACATTACCATGACCATTACCATGACCATTACATGGTAATAATTACCATATAATTACAATGTAATTACCATATAATTACCGTGTAATTACCGTGTAATTACCGTGTAATTACCGTGTAATTACCATGTACCATGTACATTACCATGACCATTACATGGTAATTACCATGTAATTGTAATTACCTGTAATTGTAATTACATGATAATTACCATGTAATTACCGTGTAATTACCATGTACCATGTACATTACCATGACCATTACCGTGTAATTACCATGTAATTACCGTGTTATTACCATGTACCATGTACATTACCATGGTAATGGTCATGGCCATTACCATGACCATTACCATTACCATTACCATGACCATTACCATGACCATTACCATGACCATTACATGGTAATAATTACCATATAATTACCGTGTAATTACCGTGTAATTACCGTGTAATTACCGTGTAATTACCGTGTAATTACCATGTACCATGTACATTACCATGACCATTACATGATAATTACCATGTAATTACCGTGTAATTACCATGTACCATGTACATTACCATGACCATTACCTTGTAATTACCATGTAATTACCGTGTTATTACCATGTACCATGTACATTACCATGGTAATGGTCATGGATTACCATGGTAATGGTCATGGTAATGGTCATGGTAATGGTCATGGTAATGGTCATGGTAATGGTCATGGTAATGGTCATGGTAATGGTCATGGTAATGGTCATGGTAATGGTCATGGTCATGGTCATGGTCATGGTCTAGTCATGGTCATAGTCTAGGCATGGTCATGGTCATGAATGAGTAGGCAATTGCAGGCTGAACCACCTGATCAGCATATGGAACCTTTCGTAGCAGGTGCGTAGGCGGCTTCGTAGCCGCGTGTCGCCTTATACGCAGTTTTCCTGGATTTATGTCCATGCAAATAACGAATTCGCAGATTTCCGGGAAATGTGCGTATAAATCGATGCATTTCGCTATTATCCGGCTCTTCGCGAAGGGCCTAGGGATTTCGCGAATTACCGGATTTCGCTACATTCCTGCGACATATAGATATGGACCTAATTATGATAGAGTGAGTGAGTAAGTACACATTTTGTTGCTTTTCTAAATTGCTACATACTAGTAATTTAGTTAGGTACCTGATGTATCTTTTCCACAACACAGACAGTGGGTTCTCCAACTTTTCCTTGGTGACGAGACCCTTGGCCAGGAGAAAGGCGGACATGAAGAGGAAGGTGTCCGTGAATAGGTCTGTGTGCATCACGTAGAATATATCGTCCAAATCCTGAAAAAGACAGACAAACATGTTTTTTTAATGATGTTCGAGAAAGAAGGAGAGGAAGAGGCCGTCTTTAGCACTTTTGTAGCTACTGCGAGCAATCTATGTATCTATCCTGGGTACTTTCAGTTTTAGTTTATCCTTTTGATACGGTATGAAAAATCTGATCTCTTATCTTATAGTAACCATATCGATATTTAAAAACTTTCATATTTACAATAACTAGAATGACTTGGCAATCGCACTCTATTTGCTTGTGAGATACAATGGTCTGGTGCGATAGCCGGGTCATTCTAGTTATTGTAAATATGAAAGTTTTTAAGTATCGATATGGTTACTATAAGATGATGTCTGTTACCTAATTACGCAATAGCTTAAGATGAAAGTTCCCTGAAGTAGTCCTTGAATAAATCAATAACCGACTTGGCATCACATGGATATCACAACTTTTTACAGTAGAAGCACTGAGAGGCGAGACTTGGTTCTTTTTACAAGTGAATGTTTTTGGTGGGATTAAATTTATCCTTTAAAAGAGTTAGTTGATGTGATGTGATAGTAGGGAAACGAAGGAGCAAGTTATTGTCGTGTCAAATATGGCCTACTCGGACGGCCGTAGTATAGTCATTGCAAATAATAATAGGCGTAATAATTAAAATTATTCATATCTCGTGTTCATCTTAGTAAGGTAAGTACCTACTTTTCAGTAGAGTAACTAGAAATACGTACTTTGTTTACTGTTTTGTAAAAGCAAGTTGTAAGCTGTTTTAAATTTTTTGTTAAGTAGGTAATAAATAGTACTTAATTACTTAGACACAAGAATGTTGCCTCATAAACAGTCATCTTTACATCTTTAATAACTTCCTACCAAATCTCATAGCTATCTCAAACACTACAAATGCCAGTAAATACGACACAAAGGAATCAATTTTTAATTTTTGACACACCTAATATTTAACCAAGTTGTCACCTTTAGCCTCTAATGCTGTGGAAATAAGGCCTTAATTCAAGGGGATCACACGTAACGTGCGTTGCTGCGCTATTTTAGCATGCGTTGGGAAAATACGTATTTCCACCTTATTCCGATAGACATACGGTTTACACACATGTGACAGACGTGTCTGTCAAACCGTTTGAGATAAACCATATTTGTATGAAAATATGATGAAAGTCGCATTTTCCTAACGTATTACGCTACGCAGCGCTAAAATAACGCAGTCGAAGGACAACAAGCCTTATAGTCTAGTAACTAACGTCACAGCTATTCGGATTGACCCATGAAGCTGAAAATTGGCATATAGGTACTTCTTGACCTCCTTATCAAAATTAGACATGGAGCCCAGCGGGCACAACCCCCCTTAACCTTTTACCACCCCCCCTTCTTTACAAGGCGTAACTTTTGAAGTAATTGACTTGGAGGGTAGTTTCTATTTCATATCGTGCTCTTGACATCTCACTTGAAGCTTATTGTGCCCGCAAAATTACCCTTTCGGTCCCCCGGATGGCCCAAAAGCCCGAAAAGTGGGGTGTCCCGTTCTTATATGAGATTTTCTTATTCTCAAACTATCGACTCCCAAGAGGTATCAAAAGTTGCGTAATTAGACACAGATTGCAAAGTTTTTTGCAACTTTTGATACCACTTAGTGATCGATAGCTTAAAAATAAGAAAATCTCATACAAGGACGGGACACCCCACTTTTGGGGCTTTTGGGCCCCCGGGGGGCCTAAAGGGTAATTTTGAGGACACAATAAGCTTTAAGTGAGGTGTCATGCACGATATAAAATAAAAACTACCCTCCAAGTCAATTACTTCAAAAGTTGCGCCTTGTAAAGAAGGGGGGGCGGTAAAAGGTTAAGGGGGTGCCCGCTGGGCTCCATGTCTAATTTTGATCAGGAGGTCAAGAAGTACCTACATGCCGATTTTCAGCTTCATGGGTCAATCCGAATAGTTATAACCAGCTATTGACGTTAGTTACTAGACTATTACCTAAAACTCAAGTACACAATTAATCTAAAAATCAACAAAGACAGAGTAAAACTAATTTGACGAAGCATCGTGTGCGTGCAAACAGTTAATAATTACCTGTTAATCGTTGGAACATATTTGTTCATTGTGCAACTATAGTGTCAAATCTGTCTCAAACTCATAACAAGCTAAGCTAATGTAAATAAAAATACAGGGTGTTAATATAAATGCGTGTCATAGACTCAAAGCTTAGGAGTAGGTTTAGTATCGATTGAATCTTCGCATGGAGACGAGCATCAAGAGATTGAAAATTTGGCAGGCATCGATCGGTGCATCGATAGCTCAATGACAGAGTTGTGGGGCGTTGATCCATGCAGCCCGAGTTCGAGCCCCGGTCGATGCAGTTTTTTTATTGACAGCATGAGAGTTTGTGTTAGTACAAATGCTACCCGTTCATAATTAGTAAGGCGCACTTTATCAGTAGCTTGCTTGATAATTAATACTCTAAGCACCGTAAGTACGTAAGTACCTTTTCCACGTCAAGTGCATTGCCGACAGCCCCTGACACAACAAAGAACATCTGGTGTGCGAAGGTAACCAGCATGGCGGTCATCACCCTGACGCCGTGCAGCATCGGTATATCCTCACCACTTGGCTTCACCAGCTCGAAGGTGTTCCGGTTCATGCAGAAGCATTTGGCCAGCTCTGCGCCTGGGAAAAGAATTGGTGAATGTTTTAAATATTTTTTTGTTTGTGGGGGACACGAGTCATATTATTATAACGACCCGATGAAGCCTGGTGTCACAGTTTTACAACAGCCCGTTACAAATAGTAAGGCTTCTGACATGGTTGTGCTACAACCGCCGTCTAAGTAATCAAATCATACAGACAGAAACCACTTAACGCTTAAGGCTTAACGTGATCTCTGAAGCACGGAACTATATTTCTTTTCGAGCTTCGGTCTGTAATACCATGACCAGACTGGGAACAAAGTCATAAAGTGATAAATATCAACTTTCTACGTCGCAGGCAGTCGCACTACCACTACGCCAAATCGGCCGTCATGATAAAAATGGATGTATATTATTGATCAGATCGCAATTATTGGAAAAAACTTAATACTTTTCATAAAAAAACGAGACACTTGCGGTTTCAGAGCTAAACAAAAATATGAAATTTATAAAATTAAAGTCGAATTTGAACATTGACATTAGGATTTAGAAACCTCGTGATACTCACTATTGAACGACAATAGACATTTATTATTAAATAAACATATTTCTTAGATAATGTGATCCGTGCAAAATGGAACTAGCCGTTTTTCGATTTTTCTGATGAGAAGTGTAGTTAATGTCTACTCACCGAAAGAATTTGAATTAGCCGCTGCATTGTTGTTATTTAAATACCAAGTTGATGTTACTGCAATCAGTGTTAAAATCCCAATCAAAGTTCTGAAAAAATAAATATTTCATCATACCGACATTCTTTTTCATAAGAAGAGAAGATAATGTTATCCAGACAGATTATATAGACAGCATAACACTTAACTTACAAAAATATCTTAATCCCTACTTCAGTTTTCAAAGGCTGTCCAGGGACTTGGCACTGATCCACTTGGATCTGAGGGTCAGAAGCTATGGATCCCAGGGCGCTGCTGCGGAGTAGCGCCTTCAGGATCTTGGCAACTGCATCTGAACTGCAGACTGAGGGTACGCAGACACCCCAGGTTATAGTGTTCAGCTTGCGAGCGTGTTTTGTTGGTGTCTACAAAAATAAAAAAAGTACGCTCAGAACTTTATGTAAAGAGAAAAGTTGTTCAGTTTTATAGATAGATTTATCTTCAGATTAAACCCATAAAGATTTTGCACTGTTTCCATAACACCCGGTATTTGTAACTGCTACGATCAGAATTGATTGTCTACGTCGGCTACGCCGTAGCCGTAGCAAAATTCGTAGCAAAGTAAGGGGTAGATATGTCCGTTGCAGGGTAGGCAGAGTGTAAACGGCTGTAAAAACGGCCGTGTACACTACGTCTGACAAAATGTCAAGTGTCATTCAGAAGACTGTGTATAACCATTGTGACAGGTTGTCAGCTTGTCGCTTTAAATTTCAATACACATCAACTCTCAAATCCCTTTGTCGCTTCTTACGACACCCACGGGAAGATATGGGGTGCTGCTATTCTAAGCTGGATAGGATAGTGTAATGAAATGATCATTTCCAAGAATCTAATTAATCATAACTAAACTAATGAAATCCAGGACTTGTTTTTCGTGTTGAAAACCGACTCGTCAAACTACCCGATGACCCCTGATGTCAGAGATTTTCAACCTTCCACTACACGAAGCAGAACTCTGACAGGGTTGTGTGCCGAAACAACTGTCGTCTATGACTCTATGTAGCAACCGGCTTAACGTGCCGTTGCCGTCCGAGGCAAGCCGCACGGAACCATCATTTATTTTCGGATAATCATGACTTATAGGAACACACAGGTACACGCGTTACATATTTAATTAGAATATACTTCCTTACCCTTAAATAAATTTCCGTAGATCCATACGGTTCAATCTCTCCCTTAGATTTACCAGGGTCAAAGCCTGTAATCTGGACATCAGCCAGGCAGTACTTGGTGGCCAACCCTGGGTGTGTGTGCTGCCATGGCGCTTTCATACACTCATCATAGTTGCCGAGGGTATATTGAGAGCCATAGAGTACTCCCATGGGAAGTTGGATGGAGTCGAGGACTGAAATATTATTAAATTACACTTTTGTAATAGAGAGAAAAATATACCTGCTTCTAATCATATTCTCTCGGTCTAATAGGGTCCAAGTATTCAAGTATTCCACTTTTGGACATGGACATGGACCTCCCTGATAGCGGGTATTGTCATACCCTCGGGTCATACCCATACCCACGCACTTGGCAGGCAAATTGAGCGCAGTGTAAGATACTCTTTATTCCCTGGATGATTATCCCTTAGTCAGTTTTTGGGTAAAATTAGATTGTTGCTATTCTGAGCAGCATCAGTCGCGCCGTAATCACAGGGACAAAAAATAAAAATAATGTCTTTATAAATGAACATTCTACTTCCGGAAAAAGAAAATCTTTTTCTATGGGAAAACTTGCAGCTCTCTCCGATGCTGGAAAATAATCCAAAATTATCAGATATAGTATAGAAAGAAATTACCCCAACTAGCCCACAATGTAGAGTTTTGGGCATTTTTTAATATCTCCAACAATTTATTGCGACACAACGAATTATCTCCTTTCCATTTTTCATGCACTACATTTTGATACAATACATCGATTATTGAAAACCTCTCATCCGTATTTTTGCTCGTTAATAAACCTGAAAAAGTAGCAAAGGATCAATGGTTAGATTATCACTTTATGTTCATAGTAACTCATAAAAAAAAGAAATACAAGAAAAGGGACTTACCAGAGGTGGACGTTATCAATGTAAAACTAAGGATGGCTAATACTTTCATTTTGACCACTGTTATAAATAAACACTAGGTACTAAACATTGTATGGAACACATAGGAGGAAAATATTTTCCTAGAAATCACTAAACATTGCCTCGCGTGCCATTTTGAACTTATTCGACCATATGGAGCATACTTGAAAAAAAGTAACTTAGGCTAAAATAAATAAGGCACCTTAACTCGTAAATCAAGACTGAGAGCGCACGAATAGGTCATCTGTTTTTTATACTTACTTGTTTTCATAAAACGGAGGCGCTCTATACTATTACCAGCACAACAACCTAGCCATTTCAGGGATCAACTAATACCGGTTTCTCTTAGTGTTAAACAGTATAGGCTGAACCCTTAAATGGGTAGTTGATTTGTGCTAGTGACGGTACCTACTATACAGCCCGCTACGAAAAAAGTCCTACAGATGTGGTGCTATTGCGCTAGACGCTATCTACACAAGTAAAACGTAAGACGTGAGACAAGTTATCGTTCGTAGTTTGCCGATGAGACGTGCATCTCACGGGTGTAGACGGTGTCTCTTCTGATTTATTTTTATTTACCTATATTTGAAATAGTAACGGTATTTTCACGAATAAACATCTTACATGTGGAGATAGCTCCTTACGTGTGTATGGAATCTACGACTCTAGGTCAATTACTAGTTAAAGTATAGTAATTTTTTCTTCCTTTATGATGCCCTTTGAAGTCATTTAAAAAATAATGAAGAAAATGTCTCATCATTAAATGTTAACATTTACAAGAGTGCCGACTAATGCAGTTGAGGCGAATCCCACACGTTACGTCCGTTTGTGCAAAAGATACCTTATTTGCATCTAATATTCCTAGTTAATAATAATAAGTGCTAAGAATAAGATGGAATCCCAGGAAAGAACTAGATGGAAGGAGAAGAGGGAGGCCTTTGCCCAGCAGTGGGATGATACCGGCTAGATGAGATAAGATGAGATGAGATGCGAGAAGAATAAGTGTAGCAGGCAGAGACAGGTGCCAATGTAAGTTTTAGAATTTCTCCTGCGTCAAAGCCTAGGTTTTCAGTACGGGGAATTCTTTCCTTGAATCGTTATGGATACGCTAAAAATGCGCAGCAACGAACGTCAAGTGGGTGAACCGCCTAAACAATTCTAGTTTCATTATGCCATGAACATCATGGAAGATAAAACATCCCACGTAATAAATATAACAATTATAAGGAATGTTAAGCAGTGAGGCCACGACTGCGACCGACGTCACTGAACGGCAATTTAGAGTGTTTTGGAAAAACCAAGCCGGCAGGATGCAATGAAATACATGTTGTGTAAGGTACAACTAGCGAACATCTCTAGTTAGAGAAGGAGTCAAGAGCGCATAATCCATTTTTTTTGTATTGAATCAGAGTTCAATGCTAAATTTTAAAACACTTCCCATAATAGGTACCTCCTACCTATACAATATAGATAGGTATTTGAAAAATTTGCAAAATTGTCAGCCGCAGGTAGGACCACGTAGGACATAAACTTTAGTTCCGCTAGCAAAAATTGAGCCGCGGTGGCCCAGATAGAGGCAGCGTCGTCAGTATCAATGGTAGATGCCACAGGAATATAGGAATATAGGAATAGTCACAGGATCTAATCTCGCCTGCGGTAAAAATGTTTGGAAATGTTCCAAAAATTAGGATCAGAGTCATTCTTATTTCTTTTTTCAGATTGCGGACAATGCTCGGGGACGATGTGACCTTTCAAAAGAGATGGTTTTGGTAAGTTTTGATTTGAGCGTGTCTTATTGTGGTTGGTAATGTAAAGCAAAAGGGGGACAGTCCATTTTTTAGTGGAATGGAATAAAAACAATTCACTCTTGTCTGTACTACCCCCTTGCTCCCTTTATTTATTCGTAAGTGGATAAATTATTTCTTACTTTTCGTTTCCACACAGT